ATATATATATATATATATATATATATATATATATATATATATATATATATATGTATATATGTGTGTCTGTGTTTGTGTTTGTCAACTCTTCCTTTTGCTGTTTCACTGACACCTGCAGAGAGCTGCAAGAGAGCTATGAATGAGAGCCGAAATCTGGAAATTAAATTCCCATCACAATAGATATAGAGGATTTCTAAAGCATGGGGAACATTAGAAAATAGAGGAAGGTATCATTCAAAAAGGACACTCTTTACATCAGTAACATTCTTCAGAAATTTTGCTTTTAGAATTTTCTCTCAAATTTTTTTTTCTAGTTTTGCTGCAAGCAATCCTTAAGGAGATAAGTGAGACTTTGTGAAAAAGTAAACCATCACAGGCAGAAAAAAAAATAAAGGAGAACAGAAAAAGATTATTCATTGAATGATAGGGCTATAAAATTTATACAATCTCCACATGCAGCGGTTCTCTACCAATGACATCGATCCTTGGTAAGTATATTTATCTTATAAATAAGATAATTCTCATCAACATTATATCCACGGATGATCAATGTACATAACCTTATTTCCATATGTACATAAGCTATTTACGTCGAGTCAAACTATATCGATGTATTAAAGACTATCCTCCCATGAATATATTGTTGATCATATAAATTTTTATTTATGAAGAAATTATAAAGTATATTTATCATCGTCCGCATGGAGAAGAAAATAAGATGTAGCTAATTGCTTCACTAATCGAGCTTATTTTCGAGCATTAGTCCATCCTAACGAGAAATTGATTCCGATGTTATCCTCGTATCATCAAATAGGATTTTCTTGGAATCATCAAATTGGTCCATAAATTGAGCTAGAATTATTATTTTCAAAAATATTTTTTTTCTATTATTCTGATGTGTTGAAGAATCTTTGCAATCGACATTGTCGATCGTAATGGTATAATATATTAATTTTAAATTTATTTTATATTTCATACTAATCTGACACTAAAGGGGGAGGAAATATAATCTCCTGAGACATTTATGGTCTTCAGAGTCATGTATCTGTCCAAAAGCCAGCTTTTATTCTTTTATGAAATAGAGGACATGAAAGAATGACATCAAAATGTAAAGATCTTATAAATGAGAACAATATGTTGAATGACTTTTGAGGCATTGACACATGGAATCAGTGAGTCAGAAATAGAAGACACAAACACTGCAAGCCCATTAGCATCTCATTGCATGCCTGAGACTTGCATTATTTTTTCTGGTGGCATCATTGTATGCTGAACTCGATCAGGTGGACAATCTTCCAAGTCAAGAGTGTAAGGAAGAGGTTCTTCCTACCCACTCCTGCTGTAATCGAGGGTTAGGAGATGGTCAGCGATTGCTTCAGTGGAACACCATATCTGATCCCTAATTTGCTGCAGCGACATCGACGGAGGAACCTGCTGGCCTCTACAATAAATCTGCACCTGATGATGCAGCATAGATGTATCAAAAACCAAGAATGACAACATGATTTTGTGGGTTCTCAAAGCACATGATGTAATAGATAGAATTGGTGGGTATGAGTACGCATACCGATAGACCTCAAAAATAATTCCTGTAAACAATAAAGGATTTATTTTTTAATGCATTCAAGTTAATTAACCATATACACCTAAAATATTGATTTGATGATAGCATATTTAGACATATTTTATCAAGACTTATAAGTTTAAAATCTTATTTGATAAATTTTTACATCTAAAATATTGGTTTCATGGTCGCTTATTAGGCATACATACTAAAGGTTGAGGACTTGGAAACTAATCCAATATATTTTTAAATCGAAAGAATTGATCTAATGGTCGACTTACAAAATGTTAAGGATTCGAGATCTTTAATTTTTTATTATAAATTAGTTTAACTGATAAAAGACCTTATTGTTGATATCATGGTCTTGAGATCGATCTTGTCTAAGGGTTAAAAAAAAACATAATAAAGAATATAACATGCATGACTCAATGGCAGAACAGAATTTCATGAGTCATTCCCTATTTCTAAAATATGTCGCATTCATTATGCGTGGGTTAAAATAATGCCTCTTACGAGATCATCATCTCTTTCCATCAGCTTAAATATAGATGCATAATATCTTTGTGATCAATACTGTAATGCATGCATCTCTATTTAGATCCTTAGTTGAGATATTGTAATAAACATATCTCACTTCCTGAATCATTATTTAGTTGTCAATACTTACTACCTTCATAAGCCAAAAGATTCTAAAAATATTATGTTCTACTTTGTTGAAGCCTCAAATCACTCCTTAAAGATACTTGAACAACATTTCTTATGACATCTCCCTCTCTCTCTCTCTCTCTCTCTCTCTCTCTCTCTCTCTACCCACCCACCTAACGTGACACATGCACAAGGGACCAGTCGATGCATGTCTCTCTCACGTCCCCCTCTCATCGCCTCTCCCCTCCTTATCGTAGAAGCAAAACCAACTCCACATTAATCCATCCGCCACCAGTACTCCGCATCTGTTCGATACTTGTCCCACGACCCAACCCCAAGCAAAAGCGAGAGTCATGATGGTGATGATGATGCATGGGTGCACTCGGTGCCTCGTTTTCAGTCGTCCTTTTCGAGTCTGGCCAAGCTTTTGGGGTGGCCCTCTGGGTTTCATGGCCTCACAGATCATGGCTAAGGAGTACCATGCTTTTATCTTTTCCCAGTGTTGCTGCTGCTCCTTCCCTTTCACCAACCTGAGATCTGACAGAAGAATCTTCCGCCAGTGTGCAAGAATGGATAGCCTTTCTCCATTGGCTCTCGCATTGTGGATGGGGGGTGATAGGGCCATTGACATTCCAACAAAGTGCACCACTTGATGGATGCTGCGTCCGGTCGTTCCAGGGGGTTTGTAGTGCCTAATTCTTAGCCATGCTAAGCCCTACGCGAGCATGACCGTGGCAATGCTCCCCTACGTTATCATGACTATGCCAATCATAGCAATGATCTAATAAGTTATCGATACAGAACATGCAGCGAGCAGTACAAGATTGGTATCATCTTGTACGAGTCGATGCTGCTTAAAACAAGACAGTATACGTTCTGTAATTATTTGTTTCTAATTTTCTTAAGATTCAGTCTATACCATCGTACTGACATTCGATACACTAGTATGGAACGGTACGATACAAATACTAATCATACAATATCGATATCAATATATATATATATATATATATATGAGACTGTAAACCTTGATTAAACCTTTCATAGCTATGGTTATGAGAAAGAGAGAGTGATTCTTACATTTGGGAATTATGTTAAAATCTAACAACAAAATGTTTAGTCAACGGATAACCACATGAAGTCACTATGCTTCAATCGGTAAACAATCCCTAATCATTCATAACCTACTTGTTCTCAGCTGATTAATCCATGGGCAGCAAGAAAGGGGCATGACATCTTGAGATAAGTAGCATTGTATTCCTTGTGTTGACCTCGGACATGAATTAAACATAACATGACATGATTGTGAGGCAAAATGTTATTGATGTTGACTATAGCTCTCTGTACCTCACCTACTCAATTGTGTAGGCAAACAAGGAATTTATTTGATTTATACAAAATTAAACTGCAACAAGAGATGTCAAGAAGCATGTCCAATTTTTAATGTAGAGTTGACCTCGAAATTATAGGGGCACATCACCTGGCAAGCATATTTCTTAGGCTAAAGGAATGGTGCTCATGTCATGATATTCCAAACTAACCTCATGTAATTGCAGAAACTAAGAAATGAACATTATGATTATCAAAAGCACGCATCTCCTTTTGCATGAAACAGATTCCTACAAGAATTGGGAATTATCACATCTCTAACTGATGGATGTGATCGAATGTATTTTATATTTCCTAAGATGAAGAATTTAGTAGGTAAAGGAGTATGACAATTTAACCCCAAAAATGAAAAAGAATGGAGAAAAAGAAAAGGAAAAGGACTTCATAGCTGTATGTTTTCTGTAGATAGATAGATAGATAGATAGATAGATAGATAGATAGATAGATAGATAGATAGATAGATAGATAGAGAGAGAGAGAGAGAGAGAGAGAGAGAGAGAGAGAGTTGCAAATTCTACACTAGTGTCTTGACTCTCTCATACTGATGGGCTAATGCATGAAGAACTACAACATTAATATATTGGCACCAAGGTGGAAAACAATCTTTAACAGTACAGGACATCATTGCTATATTCTTCCAATCATTAATGTACAATTGGGACCAACCAAAGTGTTGCTAATATACTGGTCCCTCTTGTCAACAATGTAAGTTGGTACTCTGGCAAGCCAAAAAGCTTATACTGGAGTCAGGATCACTCAAGCATTTCCCTAAATAGATTTTAGCAACAACAAGGAGAAGAATCAAGGTATAAATGTATATATATTTTGTCAGGCAAACAAATTAAGTGTGTAGACACTCACTACCAAGAAAACATGTAATCATTGGACTCCTCGCACTGTGCCTAAAAGCAACCAGAGAGCTATACTGTACATCCCAATATGAGGTTTGTAGACACCATACTTGTCCATCTCAAGTGACACTGTGTGGAGGAGGATTGTTTTCTGAGATTAGACACTGTTACAGGGATTGATATATCTGATAGCTTGCAGTTAGTTCTTCTATGATATCCAATGCAGGTATGCATTGCATTGCATGTCCAAAAGATGAACACAGAATGCCCAAAAGCAACTAACAATCACTTTATATTGATAAGCTGAAACATGTAGAGCATGTGGAGAGTACCTCATGTCCATCCTCCAAGCCAAGCTTATTGGCTAAGTATTTCATCAGTGCTCTCGCCGTCATCCTCCCATCCCTACGACAAGAACTCCTATTAATTCCATGCCATCAAATTCACGAACCAGAAGGTGAAAAATGAATACAAAGGCAAGTGTGGATACTTCATCCTTAGATAGCTCTTAGATATTTGACGTAGAAAGGGTTGCTTTCCTCTGCATTTAGATAACAAAAAGCATGCAACCATTATAAACAAAGATTTCAAAACTGAATCGACAAAGAGAGAGACTGAAAGATGGGATTCAGACGAAGTGGTAAGGAGAAGTTCTATCATGCACTCAGAAACCCTCAACTCACTGGTTCTGTGCAGCTCTGAGCACCAGCCACATCCCCGCCTGCGGCCTCCGTGGTGGGCTGACCACCCTAACCTCGCTACCGGTCGCCACGGACGACAGTCTCAAGCTACTTGATGGAATTGGCGGTGGAGCCATGCTCAAACTACTTGCGCTTGGACTCGGACTTCGAAGCCTCCACGTACGGCCGTATCCTGCCGTCGCCGCTGCCGGATGCGACGGTGCCATTGCGGTGAAGCCAGGAAGTTGCAGCGGCGACCACTCTATGGGACGTTCGGCTGACGGTCCACCGGAGAACAAGTTCATCTCTAATAGATCGCGACGCCCACGGCTAGTGCCTGCCGTCGGATCGCTACCAGTGCCAAGTCGGAGCCACCCTTGGTAGCTCCGGCCGGCTTCTTCAGATGTAGCCCTTTCTGCTTCTTGCTTCTCCTCCTCCTCCTCCTCCTCCTGCTCATTGTTGCCACCACTTTGAGCGGCCTTTTCGGCCATCAGGCCCGATATTTCAAAGACCTCAACTCCAGTTCGATCAAAGAAGCCCCCATAGCCATCGCAGTGTCGTCGTCGGAGGTTCGGAGCAGGGGCCATCCTGTCATAGTGATCCCTGCAGCTTCATCAACGACTTTTGATCCTTCATATATCAAAGATGATACCACCACGGGCTCACTGACCCCTAGAACATCATCAGGTCATGAAGGTGTAGCTGATAACAGAAGTGGATGTTGGATGGAGGCGAAGCAGCAGCCATAAGGGTAAAGGCAACCTCCTCTCACCTCGTCTTGTCGAAACCTAGAATAAGATTTGAGGCCTTCAAGGTCTAACTTTCCTTTCAAGTCCTTGAGGATGAGATTTTCTGATATGAAGATGACTTTATAGTTGGGGAGAGAGAAAGAGAGAGAGAGAGATGTTCTGATGGCTTTAGATAAGTATTGGTCATCTTTAATTAGAGGGCATCAACAGTACAAATGCCATTGCTACATGTAACCACAGTGCAAATGCTGGATCATAGAATTATGTGATGTATCACAGCAGCCTGAGACAGCAAGTATGCTTGCTGTGGAGTTAAAATATGGAACCCACATGGACACTTGTTGTTGAGTAATAATTAACCTTTGTAGTTGGGGTATTCGTGTTGCAATAATTTAGATTAGTTTTCCACTAATAAATGCTCACCAAGTGATGAGACAAGACAAAAGATATGGTTGACATCTCATCATTTGAGCTAGTTTCAATATGAACCTCCCTCCTCCTTGCAAAAGGAATCATGCATCATTATAAATCGACAAGAGTAAAACTCTAAATATCCTCACCAAATTCTTTGTCTTATCACATCAGCATTCTTAATTTGTCACATGTTCAATAAAGTATGGGCTTAAGTTAATATTTGGCAGTACATTATTCGAATCAGATAGTAATTTTCTATTCCCCTCCTGTTCTTACAATATATGATGCATGTAGAGTATATGTAGTAAGGAAAACATTTATAACATATAATATAGTTCTTCTTGATCAATATCCTTTCACCTAGTTGATCTAAGGTAGTTGTATAAGTTCGTTCATGATCCTTTCTCATTAACACTCTTTTTCTTTTTCTCTTTACATTTGTTTTTAATCCAATTGGACTTGATACTTCGGATAGCAAACAGGCCATGGTTTGTCTGCATGCCTATGCCTTACACCAAGACGCGCTCTCATCTCTGACTGATGGCTGTGGCCTTCATCGTTGCAGTGTGATGCTCACAACTCTTGTGATCCTGCATTAATTAATATCTTGCGAGTATAAAGATTGCCAACTTATTTGCATGCATGAAATTTGATGGTGACCCATAATATGACTATATCCGAAATTGAGAACTATTATAGGAGAGTGAGATATCATAATACAAAAGAAATTGGTAGACGATAGAGCTCATAGCGACAGCGATGAACAATTGAGGAACAATAATCAGACTTAAAAACTATTTCTTAATTTTCTATGAAAAATAAATTGAATGTGTGAATTATGAATTTAATTGAGTCTTTTGGTCTTTACTATTAAGGTTTGTTGGGAAGTTTACTGTATGCAAATAATAATAATAATATGAAATTAAGGTTTGAAAGTTTTGTTTAACAAAAATATTTACTCTGGATTATGTTCAATAATTAGATGTTGTCCAATAATGTGCAGTCAGAGAGTGTCAATGGCGGACGCTGCCCATCAAAAACTGTACATTCACAGAACTTGCTTTGATTTGTACATTTGAAGGCGACTTCAAGAACTGCATAAATCCTTACTGCTTTGATTGAAAAAACAAAAGGAACAAATGATCGATCTACAGGCAATTGAAATGATAAGATGTACATCCACTGAACTTGCTTTCTAATATTCCTAAATATACGAGTGTTCAAAGCTTTTCTGGAGAAGGTCTTCCTGGTTGCAAATAAAAGCATACTGATCAAGAACAGATGCTTTAATCTATGGCAAATGACTGTGGTAATTGACTGCCACTTGCTAAACACTACTTCATGTGCTATAATCTGTTTGAAGTTAATAAAGATAAAGATGGAGAAAAAAAAGAGAACCATCTCGGCGACTTCAGCAAAGAATTGTTATGTTGCCATTGAGAATCATATACTGCACAGAGTTGGAAAAGAAATAGTTACATACACTAATGATACTAAAGTCAAGTCCTCCCAACATCAAATCACAAGACAATATAGAGCACAACTGCGACAACCAACCGGGGTAAAGAGCAAAGAAAATCACAGAACCATATCAGTTAATTGCAATCTTCTAGAGATACAATGATTCATTCCCTCCTTGAAACATGAACACCACGAGAAGCATTGTAATGTGCTCCACATGCATAATATCCCTTGCTTCAACCATTGGAGTCTATTTATTTCCAGCAGAAGTGCCACTGCCATTTTCCTTCCTTTTCGACTCCCCCAATCCAGCAGCCAAAGCCAGAACCTCAGGTGTCATCTCCCAGCTTCCGCTTCTGCGCACCCAACTCAAATGTCTTGGGTGCAATGCAGTTCTCTCTAAAACAGCCTCTGGAGGCAAAGCTTCCTTGCTTAAATCTGGGGACATATCATGAAGCACACCATGCATGTCATCTAACATCTTGGTATAACCCGAATACGATGGGTGAAATGGAGTTCTCCTGACCACAGCCTCCTTCCTTAACTCTGGGGATACAACATCCAGTCCGTCATTCATGTCATCTAGCGTCTTGGTATAACTCGAATGCATTGGGTGCAATGGAGTTCTCCCGACCACAGCCTCTGGAGACAAAGCCTCCTTCCTTAAATCTGAGGATACAACGTGCAGTCTGTCATTCATGTCATCTAACATCCCGGTATAACTCGAATGCATTGTGTGCAATGGAGTTCTCCCGACGACAGCCTCTGGAGGCAAAGCCTCCTTGCTTAAATCTGGGGACAGAACACCGAGTCCACCATTCATGGCATCCAACATCTTGGTATCATTTATACCTTCTTCCAAGTCGCCTACATGTGCTAGTGCCCTAGCTTCATCCCATGATATGGGCTTCCTACCCATTTCGATGTCACCCAAAGCTTTGCCCATGTTTGGGCTCAGAAAACCTTGTCCTGCTGGCTGTGGCTGTAAGCCTTGTTCTTGCGGCACCCTTCCCCTAAAGTTGTTCTTTGAAGGAGGGATGCTTGTGAAAAAAATCTCTTTGAAATTCTCCACCACTCCTTTGTTGTATGGGTTAGCTCGCCGATCATAACGGTACCTGAAGTTCTCGTATGTTGTCTACCAGAAAAGAGAATAGATTATTAAACATTACCATAGAACAATATCATCGATTATTTTCCATCAAGCAAGATACTTAATTTACCTGGTTGGTGCTCATGAGATATAAATGGAAGACGGACAAGCCACCAACAAACCATACTGATAGGAAAGTATAAATTATTAAAACTATGGAAGCTGGAGTCTTGACCATTGCTCTCCAAATGGATGTTTGTTCAGCATCTCTGATACTTATTATATACACCCAGCAAAACCCAAAGACGTAGAGGCAGAGTAAGGTTGTCGAGAAGACAAACATATAGAAGAATCGATAATTCCGCTGCACCAAAAAGGCAAAGATGAACAATTAATAAAACTAGAAGAATTGATAGTTCTGCTGCATCAAAAAGATAAAGATGAACATTAACAAAACTAAGACTAGGTAAAATAGAAATGAAAAAGGTCATCAATTATGACCCAGAATATAGAAATGATCATCTCTACTGAAGAAAGGTCATCAAACACAAGTCAACAGGTCCTCGAACAGCAAATTGATCCTCAGACACAACTGAGGCTATCAATGCGGGAAAGGGCGGCAATAGCACCCGCCGAAGTATTATATCGCTCCGGAAGAGATGATGCCCATCACCGGGTGTATATGCATAGATCAGAAGAAGCTATCCCGCCGGTTTAGCACTCGCATGCTTGGAAATTGGAATATCAACTATTTAAGAAGGTTCCTTTTACCTAAAACATAATTCATTTTCTAGTTGCATTTCAAGTGACTCAATAGAGAATATAATGTTTCAAGCAGCTATATCCAAGATATGAAACATACAATCCCTATGCATTGCCCCACCCATGGGCAGTGATGGTCAAACCGTTCCACACAATTATTGCAGATTGAGCAATGAGAGCAGCGAGGAGGTCGATAAAGCATGCAGGTGTCACAGTATTTGATCTTCACAGTGATCCCATTCACAATGACATCCTTGGTTCGGGGTAACCGCAATTGTGGAGTTTGGACACCTCCAACTTCACTGTCTCCACCATTAGTTTCAGGTTCTGGTGGATGTGTATTTCGGGGAATGATACCCGGATCTCTACCAGAGGTAACTAGTAGAAGAGACAAATCCTGAAATCAAGAGTCATAGTTTCATTTAGTAAAATACACAGGAACAAAATTAATTCGATTAAATCAAGAATATGCAATCAGGAAATTTCAGTACGATGCTAAGGCTTTGTTATGACCAAGCATGACAATCTAAACCAGAAGATACTTACCTTGAAGCCATCTTGCAAAAACAAACACGGCATATGGTAAAAGCCTTTCAAATCTTAATTATGCAGGAAAACCATCCTCCAAACTACCACATGATGAATTTTATAAGAATTCATGATTGTAGTTAACAAACTTCAAGGTCAAGGTTGCATTCAAGAATCTCTAGATCATGTCTGTGAAATGAAAAACCTAATTGGGGAATCGGTTCAAAGTTTTGCGGGTTTAATCAATACTGACTTTTATCTATCAAAAGCTTATAGATGCCCTGAAATTTAATTATGTCAGTAAACTGTCCTCCAAATTAGCACACAAAGAATCTCACTAGAAGTCAACCAGCTTTAAGGTCAAAATTGCAGTCTCAAATCTCTAAGTCATGCATACCAAATCAAAAACCTAATTTAGCTCATGTGTAAAATCAATTAAGAGTCTCATGGGGTTAGTCAATACTCCATCTTTGTTAATTTTTGTTATCTATCTCATTCAGAGAGGACATAAGATAACAGGAAAAAGAATATAACAATCATGCAGGGTACACATTAGTTTATGTGCATCGCACCATCGCTAGCTGTCTCATGGGGTTAGTCAATACTCCATCTTTGTTAATTTTTGTTATCTATCTCATTCAGAGCAGACATAAGATAACAGGAAAAAGAATGTAACAATCATGCAGGGTACACATTAGTTTATGAGCATCGCACTATCGGTCGCTCTCAATCTGTAGACTAACCAAAATGTGCACCGCTCATTAAATGCACATGCAGGCTGTGCAGAATCATTAAGTCCATATATGATTCTGGGTTATTTGGCAAATTCCATACCAAACAATGACTAATCCCCCCCCTTGCTCAGTAGTGATAAACTATTGCTCCCCATTGACATATATAATTCAAATTGCAATGAATATTTTGAACTACAATGTGCAAAGAATGTTTGGTGGTCCTTGCATCACCAATCCAATCAGTTGAAGGATGCATAAGATCTTTGGAATCTTAAAAATAATAAAAGTGCAACAGAAAAATAGACATTGCAATGTAAGGATATATATATATATATATAATCCACATCAAAACACCACTTGCGATCAACACCAAGCACATTGCAAGTTGAATACCATGGAGAGTTGTCAAAAGAATCAACATATCATCATTTGATGATTTGTAACTTCCAACTTTACTTCCAAACGACCAATGTACTTATAGACAGGTCAATAGGACAAGCGATACCAAAGTAATTGGTTTAAAAAATAGAACCAATTCATATCATGACATTTAGGAATTCATGATTAAATAAAAAATCATTGTTTCTGTATCACATCATTAAACTATGTGTCGTACCCACCATTGATAAAAAAAGTAAAAATACCCAAGATGGTATGACCTATAACAAAATTGCTCATTTTCAGAAAAAAAATGCAATTCAATTGTCATATAAAGCAGAAATAACCCAAGAGAAAGAAAATTAATCTAGAAAAAGATGCACAATCATTAAGAAACTATTTTGCAGCTGCAGATTCATTATTTTTAAACCAAGGAGATAGTTTAATGCTAAAAAATGCAATAGAACATGATATTTATTAGGGCAAAAAACTGTAAAGAAAAATTAGGGAAAAAAATAAAGAAGTTTATATAACATGCCTAAACAGAAACTGAAGTATGAATACCATCATTAATTCATATACAACCCCAACCCAAAGGGAGTGGGAGATCAAGCTCATCAAGCACCAACCTGATCCAGATCATGCTGCACAGGATTTTGACAGCATAAACTAGTTTTTCAGGAAAAACTAAGAGCACCATTGTCTTAAACATATACAACAACTTTAAGAATCATATAACAGCAATAAATTTGCCAAATAGATGCATATGTTTCAATTTCCTTCCTTGGACTCGACATCAATATAGTATTCTTCATATTTCAAAAGCCAAATCAAGCATCTAGTTACATAAAGGAAAAAACAAGAGGAATGAGGATGTGATACTTACATATAATGTGAAAACAACAGCTACTATCATTATTGATATTCCCAAATTATGAGAAAAGTCATCCATTAGTTTTCTAGCAACAAATACACAAAAGATGGAGACCGGTGCCACAATGAGAAAAATGGTGAGAAACAAGGATGATGCATCAGGTCCAAATATAAACCTCCCTTGAAGAAAAAATATCTGCAAAAAATATGAAAAAAAAACAGATTAAATCAAAAGAAAATCATGCATCATATTTCCTGCACAGCTTTAGTAAGATAAACAAAGAAAAAAAAATGAATAGCACAAAGACTTGATAATTATAACTAAATAGTGGACTCAAAACTTAGATTCTGAAGCTGAGGTTTAAAATGTAAAGCTAGTTGATGATAGAAATACAAGAGCTTATAAGGCCACAAGATATAAAAAAGAATAAAAATAATTGTTGCGCCCAATGAATAGATTTTGGTAAAAATCATTAATTCAAGAAAGTTGTAGTTAGAGGCAAGAGTGCCAACTAGGGAAATATTTGAAGGTAATCTAAGAAAAATGGATGTTTTGTTGAGGGCAAAAGAGCAGTTAAGTAAAAGCAAGGTCGCCAAAAAGCAAGCTAAGGCAGCAGGAATATTATTTCTGAAGAGGAATACAAGGGTGAAAAAAGAAGACAAGGGGACCAAAGGAGAAACATACGAAAAGCTATGATGTTTCTCTTCTATTATATAATTTAACATACAAAAATTCTAAGCCAATTTATTATATTTAAATGACAATCAACAAAAAGTGGTAGCAAAATTCTTCTCCATGACGATCAAGAAATCAAAGAAAAAGATGAACACTAAACATACTAACATACTACTATTACTATATTCACAAAAACAAATCAAATTCAGAAAGACTCACTACCTATGAGACATATGCCTAGAAAAAGAATTCTGAGAGTTAATACATAACAAAGCAATTCAAATTCAGAAAGACTCAGTACCTACGAGACATATGCTTGGAAAAATAATTCTCAGATTTAATACGTAACAAACAAATTACTTGAACAATATTGATCAAAAGTTTAGTTGCTTCTACATGAACTTCACAGGATCATCAGACAGTTACTGGATTTCTTGAAATAATTTCTTGTAAACAAGCTGTCTCAATTATTTGGGGTCGTCTACATGGATCTCCTCCTGCCACTGAGCCTTGTACAAACTACAAAGCAAGAGCACATTTCCAATTTTCGACTATCCTCCACAAGGTTTGAAATGGTATAAATTTCTGTAGTCAATTAGCCATAATACATACTGCCTATTTGTAAAAAATAATCTTGGATAAGTAATCTTGAAGATCTTCTTACCCCAAACCATCCTGCTGAAACAGCAACAAATCACTACCGAGTTTCAATTCAGCAGCCAACTACTTTCTTATATGCATACAGAAGTTGGAAGATTAAGCATGCAGTTCATAGATCCATAAATCTCTCACTGAGAATTTTTATGCTGTGTCAGTGGCCTTGTCTTATCAAAGAAACTATTCTACATGTGCTAATGATACTAATTAGCTAAATGTGCATGAAAATTGAATATTTCTTATTTACAATCCTCAGGCTCCAGTTGTCTGCTAAGAGAGATGAAAATTTTAAGGAGAAAAAAAAAAGACAGTGAACGGGAAAAAAAAAAAAGAAAATTTGTCTCTTTTTGTAATTTGGTTGAAAAGAATAATTAGGAAGAAAGATGCAGAAAAGCCATCAGGATACTGGTTAGTTGTTGTAATCAACATAGCATTTGCTTCAAAACAAAATTTTAGGCCACCTAGATATATTTTAAATTAACTAAGCATCCATATTCTTGTCAATAATTTTCTTTTGATGCCAAACAATGGACAATCAAATTATTCCATAACAAACATTCTCTCTCATTTACTGAGAAATTAAACAGAATCAGGGACAACTCAAACACGAAGAAAAGATGTCCAGGCGCACGATTTACCTGTGTCTCAATACAAACTTTTAAACTCTCTTGTTCGGAGCACATTAATGAGACACTGATAAGGAAATTGGTGGTAAATCAAAGAATTGAAACTGAACTTAAGCTGCATTTAGTTGGCAGATGACTATATTAATGATGATACAAAATGCCAACACATGAACTGTTTAATAATGAATAAAAAAACCGGAAGTTCATAACTTGACATGGTACTTGGCTCCATGACTATTCGAAGATGAGGAATTCCTGCGTCTAGCTTACAATGTCCTCATAAACCAATATCGGAATAATCTTCCAATAAATTTTCCTCCCTTTTCCTATCGATATCGGAATAATCTTACAATAAAACCATAATTTTGGGATTAGCAGGATACGAGGGATCGAACTACACATCCGCAGACTGGTACAAAAACATAGTGAGAGACGGCCGACTTACGTTGCTGCCCTTCCAAGCCTGGTAAACCCTCGGTGCCTCCGCATCATCCAACACTCCGGAGGTGATCGTACCGGAGCCCCGAGAAGGCGGGGCAATATGCATCATCTTTCGCCGGCCCCTTCACCTTTCTGCGGAACAAGCCAGATCTGCTGAGAACAGCCGCGGAAAGAACAGAACGAAAAGAAGGCAGACGAGGGATCCTTCCTAGGCCTCGGGCTTCCTCCCCGCCATCGCCGCCCGCCGCAGACGCCGCCGCCCAATCGTTAGATCTCGCCGCCGCCACCGTCGGCGCACTCAAACCTTCGGTCCGCTTTTACACCCCCGACAAGGGAGGTGGGAATCATAAAAAAATATTATAGTAAAATAATATTTTTCTAGTACCCGTCGATCCCCACTTGCCACAACTACTCCTGTATTCATTGAACTTCGTTTCATATGGGGCCCACTATGCCAATTACGAGAGGCGGGTAGGGTTTAGGGGAAGTAAAGTTGAAATTTTGCTGTAAAGAAAAAAAAAGAAAGAGCTGAGGGCCCCACCGTTGGCTGCGTAATTCAATATTTCTCTTCAAAAATCAATTATTATAAATATATCAAACTATTTAAAACAGTACGATTTCCCTATAAAAGATTTCCATTTTGATTTTTTTTCCCCAAAAAATCCTTATTTTGGTTTTTTTTCAAATAATATCCTTAATTCAAAAAATACTGAAACTATATTTAAAAAATAATAATAGGTGCATTCGTCCGGAGAAAAATATTATAAAAATCGTTCATATATAGAAAATACTTTAAAGTGAACATAAAAACATTATAAAGGGGTTATTTTCCATATTCTTATCCTTCATTTCACTTCATATCATATCAATAAATACAATATAATATATTTTTTTTACACTGATACATTTCATATAATTAGAATAAAAATATTTATGATGTTTTAGAACATTGTTATAATGTTTTCGTTCATTTACATAAAGCACTATAAAGCAAATAAAAAAATATTATAAATGAGTTATTTCTCACATTTTTGTCATCCATTCCACTCCATGCCATATTAACAAATGTAATAGGATATAATTTACATTTATATATTTTATACAATTTATAGAAGGTCATTTTGCGACGCTTTGAAATTATCATTATAATATTTTCGTTTATATATAGAAAATATTATAAAATTAAAAAATTACTATAAAGAGGTCATTTCCCAAATTCTTATCATTCATCCCACTTCATGCCGTACCATGTCAACAAATGCAATAAGACATAATTTGCATTGATGCATTTCATACAAGTCATAAAAAATTATTTAGGGTGGTTTAAAATACCATTATCTTTCACAAACGGAAAACACTATAAA